TATATATATATATAGTCCAACTTTATGCAATTGAGTGTGTTCGTTTGTATTTCAGATATAAATTTCACAGGCAATCTGTTCACATTTTACAGAAATGAAAATATCGAACCGCAGTATTTAGTTTCAATTTTTTAGAGAGCTCACGTAATTAGCTTCTCATAATATATTTAAGAATTAAACACCAAAAAGAACAACACTTTTCACGCACCGACGTTTCTTTCAGTATACTCTATTACTAAAAATTGAAAAGGTATTCGAACGTTTAATTGTATTGCGCTGCTTGCTAGTTTTGGCATTCAGAAGATAGCTTTATAAACAATAAGAATATTCGATTATTAAAAACCTTCAGATTTTGTGAAACATGCAAACACATTATCCCATTTATAATCGTATAATGACAAATAGTGGAAGAGGTATCATATGTTTTCATTAAGCCGATTTTCTCAATATGCTCGATCTGCTAACTCTTATACTTCAAGCTCCTAAAATGAAGACACATTTTATTTGTAGGCATACGATAGCATGACGAAACCGAAAATTTGGTAGAAATGATATAAACATTCGTTTTGAAAATCAATTACCTTCTCTGGCGCTAAGCTTATATACACAGAAAGTGCCCATCTGGGCCCCCCTTCCGTGACCTCTCCAATTGGGTGAGGGCCGAGTGATGCGTCATCCATGGTAGAAACCTGGACAAAATCGAACGAACTTATCAAAAACTATTTTAAAATGTGAAAATAAGAGTACACATAATGTGATTTCAAAAAATGAAATACTGACATATGGTAAATGAACAACGCAACTAGAAACGTTACGACTGGTTCAGAATGAAATATATGTTTAACCTTATTTATTTTTTTGTGTTCTCCAAATGTACGAATTAGATTCTTATTGTTGCTTAGGACACGCATGACGCAGGGGTGGCGCCAGATTTTATTTTTCGAAAGAGGAAGACCACATTCATAGACATTATCAAACAAAGACATAAAAATAATTTCCTTCTCCCTGTCTTAAATGTGTTTCCATTATTCTCATGATGAAAAAGAAGTGATGCAGGTTATTGCATTTCGGTAAAAATCACTACCTTTTTGCTAATCAAGCACTTATGAAAATGTAACACATGCTTGGATAGAAGCAAAGAGCTAAAATGGAAACGTGTAATGTAGGAGCTTTACTTCAGCAAGAAGTAATTGACTGCGGCATTATAGACCGACTTGAGCTATGTTCAGAGCCGGCATGTCTGTGAAATTATTTCCGTATATTCTTACATAAATATCCCGAATTATTTTTCAATGGATAAAGTAGTATCAAACCTCAGTTTTCAATAATTTAACGCAAAATATCAGAAATGCAAGTATACTTTAAAATAAATGAAACCAATTTATACACTCAGTGTGGGACAAAGGAAATTGGTTCAGGAGAGAGAAAGGACAGAAAAAGATAATGATAGAAGGAAAGCTAGTCGGGAATTTAGAATCGGAGTCAAGCAAATTCAAGAAAATCAGGGAGTTCTACTTGACGTAAACGGTACAGAAAAGAAATGCAGATAAGTTAATTCTGGTCGTTTTGAATTGGTGAAAGATCTATTTAGAAAATTTGCTAAATGCATACGAACATATATCAGATGATAACCTTTCTTATTTAAAACGTTTATCTCAAAACTCACATTATGCGAGGTCAAATTAGAAGTATCAAAATTATCGCGTCATAAATCTCTCGGAATTGACATAATTTCAGCAAATTTCATTAAAATAGTTGAGATAAATTGATAGAAGTAATTCGTAGGCCATTTAGGCAGAGTGAAAAAACGAGAAAATTCCAGAAGAATGTTTCTATGCAGTACTAATTTTCTAGTCTTTAAAACAGTAATAGTTTCGCAATCACAGGATAAAAGTTCTTAAGCCAAAGATCCTAGTTTGTAGAAAACAAGTGTTCTGCTATTCTTGGTGAGTGGTAATGTGAATAATGTTTGTAGACTCAAGAGTTTATATAATGTAATTCCCTCTACAAGGGATTATGAACATGTACTAGAACCAAATCTTTATAAATTACTATAAAAATGACTTATTTAATATGATGAACATGTTTGACATGGGTTGTTGACATGACATCGTTGGGAGATCGTGAACTCAGGCATTATAAGGATCATTTTGTGATATCTTAGATATGGCATCAGAGATAATAAATTTAAGTAAACTCATGAACAATAATTTGAAAAAAGGGTAGTTTGGGGGTCATTTTCTGGAAATAAAGACAATTGATAAAAAATCTCAAATTATTATCAGAATAATACCACGCGCAAAAAATAACATAATAGGAGACTGCAAGAGTGGCTTTCTTGTACATACACTATGTGATCAAAAGTATCTGGACACATCCCAAATAGTGTTATGGTGTGGTCGTTGTTTTTCATGGTGGGAGCTTGCAACCCTTGTTGTGTGTCACTATCACGGCACAGACCTACGTTGATGTTCTAAACATCTTTTTGTTTACAACTGTTGAAGAGCAATTCAGTGCGCCAGGCTTCACCGACCTACGTCGATACCTCTCCTCAGTGCAGCACTCCGTGGAGAATGGGATGCCATTCCCCAAGAAACCTTCCAGCACCTGATTGGAAGTATGTCCGCGAGAGTGGAAGCTGTCATCAAGGATGAGGGTAGGCCAACACCTTATATAATTCCAGTATTACCGTTGGAGGGCGCTACGAGCTGGTAAGTCATTTTCAGCTACGTGTCCGGATACTTTTGAGCACATAGTGTAGGTCAATATATCAGATTTACTCTGGCAGATCCTACAATAACAATGCGACAGCCAGTTGTATACCTCTTTAAGAACAATGTAAAATTTCAGGATTGGCGTCAATGTTGACATTGCTTGCCTAACTGACTGGCAATCGAAATAGTTCTTTTACAGGGTGTTAAAGGGGGAATTACGACTCACCGACACTGGGGATATCTGCCAGACAATACGTTTTAAATAAATAATTCTACTGAACCATAATCTAAGAACCCGGGCAGAAATATCAGTACTTGTGGACTTCTCAAATATGTCACCGTAATGCATACTAAGATGCATGAGTTCTGCCAAGACATATCAAATAATATGTTAGATTAGTGTAGGCTTGACTTCAAAAATCTAAAGGGTAAATAGAATTGCGTAGGGTCTCTCTAACGAGTTCTCAGTAATAAACGGACTGAAATAATATAATAACTTATCCCCGCCACTTTTTAATTTGATGTTTTCAGACCTGGTGAACCCTAAAGAGGGATTAGAACTGTAAAATTTAAATGTTTGGAAACGCAGAGTTTTAATTTTTGTACCGGAGCACGTGGCTCAGGTCATCAACTGATGTCACTGTAGTGCCTCCGACCGGGAAGTCCGGGGGTTCGAGACCCGACGGTGACAGGATTTTCGAATGTAGCTAGTCAGCTAGGTCGAGTTCAGCCGCTGGCTGCTCTGATCGGGTTTTCTGTGGTTTTCCTGATCAACACCAGGCAAATGGTGGAACAGAACCATAACAAATGTGCAACAGACCGCGCGCAATCTCTCTTTTCCCTTCCTTGTCCTCTCGTCACCCTTACTTATACACACTTACACTTGCATACACTCCACTACCAATAATGCCAGGAGAATCGGGTGCCTAGAGTTTGTCCCGGCTGGGGCAGTGCCCCGCTGGTGGGAGATATCTGGTTCGGGAAAACCAGGCTAGCCGACGGGTAGATCGGCGCCGGATCTCGCCATTCACCGTGGGAAAATCACCGTCACCTCCAGAGGAAAAACATGCACTACACTTATGGGAGTTATGATCTTAGCCGCTGACACGCCCGGAATCACTAATCAATTAAATAAGCTTTGTAGATGGTGTAAATGAATGCAGAATCCTTCATTGCTCACTAGCGAAGCAAATGATTTAAATATTAATCCTGAATCAGTCATGCATGAACATTTGAAGTAAATGGTCACGCGTGATCAGTTCAAATTAAAATTTAAAGTCAATGCTGAAAATATGTTTACTATACGCAGACCATGTGTCAAAATCACGATTCCGTGGGAAAGAAGTATAACTAAGACAAATTTGATTCCTAATTTTCAAGCAATTTATTTCCTTAAAATGCCAAATAAACACATTAAATGAAATGGTGAGTATTTACATGGAAATTGCATCGGTTATAAGGACATTATCTACATCTTATTGTTTTTTATTATTTCAATATTAAATTTTATTTCTTTACAGGTATGGTTGAATATACATAGTCCCACCAACTATGGGCCACCCCCATAACTTCTAAACTGTCCACGATATCGAAGAGCAGACTTCGCTCAACAATGCGGAACCATGAGGCAAGTAATATGCTGTAGAGATATCGTTCGTAATAATGAATATATTAACGACCGTTGTAATGTTTATTTTATTGTAATATTTTCTTAACCTTAATAAACAGACTATGTATTTCTTATAACAATTTATTTCTTGTTATACAGTTGGCATTTCGACCTTATTTGGGGTCTTTTTCAAAAAAAAATAAAAAAAGTAATGTAAGTTATGTTCAAATGGTGGAAGATTATGAATAAAATGGTACCACCTCTAATAAAGCGATGCATTAAGAGGAATTGAACAATAATAATAATAATAGTAATAATAATAATAATAATAGTAATAATAATAATAATAATAATAATAATAATAAAAAAATTATGACATACCCAATGTCGAAGAGGTTATGTTTGTAAAGGCAGTAAGGTATTATATTGTTTTCTACAAACATAATCCCTTCTTTTCTTTACATTAATAATTTCTTTTGTCTTGACACTTAATCTCATCGTCACTGCGCCAATTTTCTTCTAGAATAGTCTTACAATTTCTACGGATTAATTTATCATTTACTTGAACTTTTTACGACATTAACTTCGTTATTTTCCCCTAGCACTATTATGATAACTTCATATTTTGCCAGTTATATCAATATATTATTATTATTATTGTTCACTTCATGTATCGCTTTATTAGATATGTGATACCAATTTAGTGATAATTCTCCATCATTGAACATAACTTACATTCTATTTTCATTTTTTAAGACCGCAAATAGGGTTGAAACGTCCGGCGTCGAAATGCATGTCAGCTTGCAGGGTCTTCCGCCTCTTCCCTAGCGGAGTACCGCGCCCACCGCGCCACCTTCGAAGCACCCGACGTGTGTGGGTGTGTGTATACGGGGAAAGTAGGAGGAAAGTATGAGGAAGAAAATATCACTGTCCATGACTTGTTTGTTAAAGTACTGATTCGGCATTCGCTTCGTATTGATCGTAGAAACTACCGATTATACATGCATACTCTTCCAGTGGTTGAATTCGACCTAGCTGTATACCTAGTGAAAAAACCACCATCTTTGGGACACGAACCATAGGACCGGCCGGTCAGAGATGCTGGAGAATGCTGCGACCGAGAAACCGCAGCCGCTTACAGATATCGACATGTACATTAATCCTATCTTCAATTAGCACTAAAAATCACCCCTTCTATTTGATTTCATTCAAACCAATATTTTAAGAATTCGAGACACCTATACCATGGTCAGTCGAGTAATCACTACACATCTACCCACGGTTTTTCAGCAAAATCGGTCGAGTAATGTTTGAGCCTATAGGACACACATACGAGCATTTTATTCATATAGATAAAATACTTGTATGTAATAATTTAATTCAAACAAAAAGTATTTGGTTATATTAATTTAATCAGAGGTGCTGCACTACATTGATCTG